AAAAGTAATATTGACAAATCACTTTAATTAATATGCTAATTTTTGTATGGATTGTAAGCAGTTAAGCATTAAGGCTATTCAGATGAAGCACATAATTCGCTTTCTATTGGTTGTCAATTTGTAACAAAAGAAAATGGAAACTCTACGTTTCCAAGATCAAAATGGATATTTCACAATAAGCAGATGATAACGAAAAGTATGGAGATGGCAAAAGCCACAAACATGCTGGGGAGCGAGAATAAATCCTGAACAAAAATAGAAAAGAGCACACATGAGCATGGCATACATGCAAACACATACGTTAACGATGAAGAATACCCGCTTAACTTGAAGAAGCTAAGCTAAATGTAGTTGACAGGATGCAGGCTAGCCAGCATTCAATGTTTAGTTTGATTACGCTTTCTTAAAGAATGATTTTTTACAAATTCACTGTGAATCACATGAAATAAGTGTCAACACAGAAGAATCAGAATTGTCGAACGGAATGCTGAGGAGGCATACGATCCAACCAAATTTCATAAAGCCAAGTTACAAATCTCCCGCATCCACCTTCTCAACGCATATAAGACACGATATTAATTTATTAAATGATTCATCGTTCATAGTTATACGAAAGAGTTTGCATATTTTTTATAAATTCGCTTTTAAAGTAATCTAATAGTTCCCTTCGGCTATTCATAAGATGGAAGCACTAAATGTGAGCCTAAACTGAATCAAATAGAAAAATAAAACGGTGCTCTGATGCGTTAGCACCAATGAGCCAGCATCCTGACTTGTGTAAAAAAAACGTTCAGGATGATGTGTACTATGTGAATACTTAGGTATATTCATAATATGCAGAAAATGAACACTTACTTAAATACCTTACAATATTTAATATTCACATTTCAGGCGGCAGTCCCTGTGTGATTTAAATAAAGTGTGTTATCCCAAGAAGGATAATTAAACAAAAATCTAACCTTATTGAGAATATCCCTTTCATATGCTTTATTTTATTCCATCACAAAAAGCTGCCTTTGCCGCAATTGTCATCCGCGTCTTATTCAGACTCCGAATGTTCGGTATATTTGCCAGACTTGCCATGATCCAGTCGAAGTGGGCCAGCAACTACGGATCAACGGGGACTTCCATCATGCATACCACTTCCGCTGTACAGAGTGCTCCTCGGAACTTGGACCAGAGGCCAGATCGCGTGAGGGTGAACTGTATTGCCTGCGCTGTTTCGACAAGATGGGAATGCCAATATGTTCGGCCTGCAGGTAGGCAACAATTATTCTATCAAAAGTGCAGAAACGTTAGTGGCTCAGCTCCTAATCATCACTAAGTATATCTGAAGATAAATTTCGATAAGGCTAAAAATACTTTAGAAAGAATTGCATTCACCCTGTTTCATTTAAAGTGATGAAGAAATGTTTGTTTAATTTTCCCACAATTATATGAATAGGTTTTATGTTTTCGTTGAATTGCACATAGCCTTACTTCCCAATAAGACATTCTCATCCGGGATGGATCTTTCGCGAAGCAAGACCATGCAAAATTCAGTGGAGACGTGAGGTCTCCAATTCAGCTACCAGTCCTTCTTCCTGCTAAACAAATTATGGTGAAGAAATCTTATATATATGATCCACTAGTAGTCTCAAAAATCTACTAGGAACGAAAATCAGTATAGTTTATTTTTATGAGATGTATTCACCCAATTTTGTTTAAGGTGATGAAGGAATGGTAGAAGAAGAATTTTTCCACATTGATGTGTTGAACTGACGTTTCCATTGAATTTCCCAAAAGTTGTTCTCATTCAGGGTGGACTGCAAGGCTATGTGAAATTCAATGGAAACGTCAGCTCAACTCATATCAATGTGG